GAACTCTTTAGCTCTTTTCAACCAGACATACCCTTCTGAGATTCGAACCTGGGCTGTCTGCATGTTAGGCAGCTGTAGGTTAATACAGGTAGGTTGGCCAACCCCCCAGCCAATCAGAGCACAGCCAAACCCCCAGCCAATCAGAGCACAGCCAAGCTCCTAACCAATCAGAACGCACCTCCATCCAATCAGAACACAGCCAAGCTAATGGCAGAAAGTGAAGAGGAACTAAAGAGCCTCTTGATGCGGGTGAAGAAGGAGAGTGCAAAAGTTGGCTTGAAACTCAACATTAAGAAAACCAAAATCATGGCATCCGGCCCTCTCAATTCCTGGCAAATAGATCGGGAAGAAATGGAGGTAGTGACAGATTTTATTTTTCTGGGCTCCAAGATCACCTCAGATGGGGACTGCAGCCAAGAAATTAAAAGACGCTTGCTCTTGGGGAGGAAAGCTATGGCAAATCTAGACAGCATACTAAAAAGCAGAGACATCACCCTGCCAACAAAAGTGCGTATAGTCCAGGCCATGGTTTTCCCAGTTGCAATGTATGGCTGTGAAAATTGGACCATAAGAAAGGCTGAGCGCCAAAGAATTGAGGTCTTTGAACTATGGTGCTGGAGAAGACTCCTGCGAGTCCCTTGGACAGCAAGGCGATCAAACCGGTCAGTCCTAAAGGAGATGAACCCCGACTGCTCTTTAGAAGGCCAGATCCTGAAGTTGAAACTCAAATACTTTGGCCACCTAATGAGAAGGAAGGACTCACTGGAGAAGGGCCTAATGCTGGGAAAGATTGAGGGCAATAGAAGAAGGGGATGACAGAGAATGAGATGGCTGGATGGAGTCATTGAAGCAGTAAGTGTGAACTTAAATGGACTCCAGAAGATGGTAGAGGACAGGAAGACTTGGAGGAACGTTGTCCATGGGGTCGCAATGGGTTGGACATGACTTCCCAATTAACAACAACAACAAATATATCTTCTATTCACTTTGGTTTGGATTTCCTAGCAGTGTTATTCAAAAGGAATTTCACTGAAGGGAATGAGCTCAAGACTTACATTTTAACCTTTTGTAACAGAGAAAAAACAAAAAGAATAATGGAGACATTAATCTGAGAAATTAATTTTAACATTAATTGTGAGGTTAATAAATTTAGCCTTTCCATTTTCATTCAGTCTTATTAGATATCTCTGCAGCTGCAACTACAGTACATTCTCTGCTAAAAATGCATTATCAACTTCAGAGTTTAGTACTATGACTTTAAAACTTTGATCCTATGAAAGATATTGTATGTTCCATACTGACCAATATTCTCTTCCCATAACTTTATCAGTTTTGCATTATTGCAATTCTTGATTATTTAAGTACAGAGAAAAAGGGAGAGAGATTTTAACATAAGCTATTTAGTTTGTTCTTATTTTGGTCATGTGTGACCACCATTTCAGTATTTTGGGGACTGTCCATGCTGTTAAATCAAATAATTTAAACAAAACACAATATTGTTTCCTGTGGCTCCTGGAAGTTCTACCCTTTGTGTTAGATAAATATGTTGTTCGTGTTCTACTCTGAACTGTTCTGGTTTCTCTGAATTCTTCTTTAAAGACTTTTAAGTTATTCCATTTTTATGTGTTTGGGCACTAACAGAAGGTGATACAAAGAAAGTTTGGTCTCCTGGGAATTATCTCAGGAGTCTTAAAAATTGTATTCTCTCTCCCATGTTACCTGAACATGAAGAATGAGTTGGAGGAAGGTTTGGAGTTAACTGCATTCTATGTACTGATGAGAATGGCTTTTCTTTTTCCTTTCATGAATGTTTTTGAAAGCCTCTGCATATCTCCTTATTGTAAAGGACTGGATGTGAAAAAATGATCTGAAATAAAACTTGGACAAGGCAGAGTTGTTGCTGATTCCAGGGGTTGGGCTCCGAGGCTCAGGTGATGTGCCTTTTCTGAATGGGAGTTCTAGTCTCCCTTAAGGAACAAGTTTGCATTCTGAGAATTCTCTTTAGTACTGGATAGCCACATAGTAACAGTGGCAAGGGGCGCCCTTTATCAGCTTTTGCCAACAGAAGTTATGCTTGTGTTGGTATGGTCTGTCCACATAGTCCTGGTGTCTATGATGCATGGGCCAGTGATCTTAAGGTTGAATATTACAATGCACTTTTAAATAAGTTATAATTTGTACTTTCTGTATTCAGTTATTATGGAAGTTAACTTATCAGGTCTTCCTTATATTTGTCTTCCTATGGTCAGAGTTCAAACTCAGCTGAGCATCTATATGGTTAGAGCTTTAATAAACCCATGGCCTTTTTGGTTTTCAATTGCATGGTTTCATAGGACCTATGACTGCAATGCCTACATGATCCATATCCTAATTCCAGATGCCACCATACTTTGGATGGGGCTTCCTGTCCCTTTTTTTTTCTCTGGTACAGGGGGGAGGGCATTGAGTAAGCTGCCTCTGTGTGTGTGTGTGTGTGTGTGTGTGTGTGTAGATCACTATTACTTCTTATCAACATTACAATTCTAGAGGAGAAAATACAACCATTCTTCTAATGCAGGGGTGTCAAACTTGCCATGTTACGTGACGTGTCAGGACATATCATTGACTTTTTTCCCATTGCTGGGTGGGCATAGTTTTAGCATGATGCATCTGGCCTATGAGCTGGCAGTTTGACATCCCTCTTCTAATGGCTCAGGTCAATACTGGTAGTGTATTTTTGAATACAGGCAAAAAGGATTCATAACTAAGCATGTATGCCCGGTAATACAAGTTCTTACTATATGTACAAAGTGGGGGGAGTGTTCCTTCATATTCAAAACCATACACCCTCAGAAGCAGAATGGATCGACTCACAACTATGCAAATCATCTATTTCATAGATTTACATTCTTTTATTATGCTGAAGAAATTAAAGTGTTGTGAATCTTCATATAACCAAACTATAAAAATGGAAATTGTACCCTGAAGAGTAATTGACCATAATAGAATTACCACTGTGTTATAAATTACAGGAATGAATATTAGAGAACTGGCTAGAAAGTCTTTAAACCTAGTGAACTGGAAAACTCACTGCTCAAAGAGAATGTGGTATCTTGCCGCACCATATGGTACCTCTTCGTCTACACTGCCAATGGAACCAGGCTTTGCCTATCTTGTTTATAGCCAGATATGATTCATGTTTATTAAAGCCATTAAAACCTTCATTAACAAAAATTAAGAATTCAGATGGAAAAATGGGGTCAAAGCAAGGCCATGTAATTTGAGGAGATGATTCTAAATAATGGGTGATCTGGAATCCAAATTTGCAATTTATAAGAGAATTCAAGCACCAGCTCTGAAAAGATAAATCATTTACTACGAATTCAATACTAAAAAAAAAATAATTATTTTTCCACAGCCATTAGAACTATGCAAATTCTGAACAAACATATCTCTATGAATGATTAAAGTAGCTAGACCAGGGGTCTTCAAACTTGGCCCTTTTATGACTTGTGGGCTTCAACTCCCAGAATTCCTCAGCCAGTACGCCTGACTGAGGAATTCTGGCAGTTGAAGTCCACAAGTCATAAAAGGGCCAAGTTTGAAGACCCCTGAGCTAGAAGGTCCACAAATCTGGAAAAAAAAATGGCTGCTTTAACAATTCAAAGCAAGGTGTTTCATACACTCTCCCACACATTACAAAGCAAAATATTTCTGTCACATTCAGCTTTTCTGATGCTAGTGTTCTCTATGAAACATACTTCTTTGTACACAATTTTGTCCTCTCTGCCTAATAATGGCAGTCTACAGTCAAATTAGACAAAATAATTTCCTGCTACCATGGGAGATCTAATGCTAAGACAGAAAACGGGCTGATAGGAAGTTGAAAAAAATAATAGTTTCCTCAGTGAAAACATCAGTGACTCTCTCTCTCAGCAGAACTTGGGAAAAGTGCAGCCAGCTGGGAACCATGAGGATCACACAAGAATTATTCTGACACCTTTTTCTTACTAAGATACTTTTAATTTTGATCCTTCACCACTGACTGCTTGATTTGGAATACTTTGATTGCGTCAATTTGACAATAAGCATATTCATAATAGCTGTTGGCTACATATAACAACAGATCTCAAGTATCTCATATTTTGGTTGACAATGACAATGTAATTATTAAGAATATGGAAGGAAGGAAGGAAGGAAGGAAGGAAGGAAGGAAGGAAGGAAGGAAGGAAGGAAGGAAGGAAGGAAGGAAGGAAGGAAGGAAGGCCTAATAAGCCGAGAAAGTATTAAGACTTATTTTTATCATCTGTCTATACAAAAAAATAATCATCTCAAAAGTTCTCATTGGAAAAGCTTGTGAGATATCCAGTATATGACAAGCAATAGCAAGTTTTCACATAAAAATAGATGGGATTGGAACAAATCTCTAGAACTTCTACACATTCTGTCATTAATAAGATAAAATCAAGAAAGTGAGATGAATGTAATTTAGGCTGTAATAAATTACAGCTATTTTTATTAAGTTATGGTTTTATATATTGCAAGCCATTGCAGTCATGAATGGCAGCTAAAATATATTATAATTAGATAAATAACAATATATGCAAAGCAACAAAAATTGTTTCATTAAATACTCTTGGCTGATATTTTTTCTGGAATAAATATTCGAAGAAACATTGAATTATCCTCTTATGCATTATCCCCAATTTTTCTGATACTCACTTTGAGTTTCTCTGTCCTGTCTGGATATCCCAAAAAATTTATTGAACCTCCTGTCTAAATTTGGAAATCACAGCTTTAATGACTGATTCATAAGACTCTTCAGTCAGCTATCCATGTGCTATATGTACCTTTTGATGGCTTTGCATAAAAAAAAAATGAAACTTGCAATTTCTGTCACACAGAAATTCTCAAAAGGCCACACTAGGAAAAAAAAATAAAGCTCAAAATGGAAACAACACATTGGTAAGATCTAATCTAATCACCAGTAGAAGAATATTCAGCAAATAGCTATAACTTACCAGTAAGTGGGATTTCAATAGCTGCTGCCAAATTTAGTACAAAGAGAATCAGGCACAGAGAAATTCTTTTTGTTTCTAATGGCATCTCCATCTCTCTTCTGTAAACATGAAGTCCAAACAGACTGAAAGATGCCTCACAATTTTCCTGGTTTGTACAGTGAATACCGTCCGAGAGAGCAAAATCTGGAAATGAAGTGGAGACAGTCACCAAAATATACTTTTAAGGCAATGGTTCAGCTATAATTTTGTTAATAAAATAAAGAAATAGGCAAGATTAATAAGCAGAAGCATAAATCACAGCAATATACAGATTGTAATTTATTCTTTTACCCTCCTGTTCTCATATTCCGAAAGGGAGGGGGAAAAAACAAAATCAATTACCCCCAAACAAATCTAATTACTTTCCTTCTTGTATACAAGGGGAAAAATGGCTAACATATTTGGCCCACTTCTAACCTTCTATTTTTTTTTCTTTTTAATAGAGATGTAGAGATTGAAAACCATTTAAAAAATAAGATATATATCATGACATTTATTTTATTTTTTAATACAGGCTAGAATAATTTTACTATTGCCCCAACATTCTAGCAGAACACCTTAGAATTGTATTAACAATTAAACACCTCTAGATAGAAAATGTGCTTTGGTACAAAGGCACATTTACAGATAATGTTGTCTACCACAGGTATCTTAAACTGAGAGTCAATAATTTAAGGTTGATACAAAGACGCCATTACTTTTATAGCCATTGTAAAATACATTGGAAGAACAGAAGATGGAAAGTATAAAATGTAATAAAGAACCAAAAGTATATATATCATTTTGTCCGCAGCTCACTGACCAAGGTGGAAACTACTAGTTTGGCAACCAGCTGCTACACTGATGGAAATCAGGTGACCATTTATCTCAGAAGAAATGTTCTGGATTGCAATTTGTACTTCAGAAAAGCTAGCTATCTTCCAGTTATATCTGACAGAGCGAAGGCAGTCAGCCAGGAAGTGACACTTAGAAAACCCCAGAGAGACAATGAGAAACAGCTGGCTGACCAGCAGTTATTCAGAGGGTGTTACAGGCCATTGGTTTATAACTGGGTAGAAATTATGGAGATTTGGGAAGGGGGGTGTTTTTGTTTACCCAGTATAGGAATTAAAGCAGAGGGGCTTTGATGGAGATTTATATTCAGGGTTGCTCTCCTTTCCCCAGCCTCTCTTAAATAAAAACTGAAAATGAATAGAAGTTAAACTGGACATGGAGCATATTCAAACAATATTTCAATCCAAATTAATTACAACTACAAATGATTAGCTTTAGGAAGTGTTACATTCAAAATATCATCCAATCTCAAAGCTAATGTAGTAGGCTTTGGTAGCTCTTGATATCTCCATAAACTCACAGCATATTGCAATATCCTATCACTAATGTAATCTGTCATGAATCAGGCATAAATAGCTGACATAACAATTGTTGTGTTAAGGCCATGTCAGCCATATTCAGTGAAGTGCTCTATCCCTACCTCATCCTGCCCTTCATTGTCTAATTCAGGGTCTTCAAACTTGGCCCTTTTATGACTTGTGGACTTCAACTCCCAGAATTCCTCAGCCAGGCACGCTGGCTGAGAAATTCTGGGAGTTGAAGTCCACAAGTCATAAAAGAGCCAGGCTTGAAGACCCCTGGTCTAATTTTTCCATGTACTGATGTATATGTTGCTGTTTTCTTGCTTCATCCTCCTTATACTGTCATTGCCCGTTAGAGTTTCTGCCTATACAGCCAAAAGTTAAAGGCACAGAAGATGCACATTCTTAAATTACTGTTTCTTCTATCATAACCCACGTTTATAGCATTGAACAAGGATAGTACATTATTTTGACTAATCATTGCACATTTTGAAAGAAAACCTGAGGTAATCCTCAACTTGAAAACCACATTGAGTTCTAAGAAAAAAGATAGGATATAGTACGGTACTACTAATAATAATGCTCATATGGAATATTCAGAACTATATTTTAGTGAATAGGGCTTAAATAACAATACAACAAGTTTCTTGAAAACCTTATCTTTAAACCTTTTCTTTCTCCTTCTCTTCCTTCTCTTCTTCTGGATATGCTTTCCAAAACCCACTCTGTACTGGATTCACCATTGCTTCCAAAAGCTTTGAACACCCTCATTCAGAGTGTCATACATAGCCTCTCCATTAGTCAATCTTCTATCATCTGTCTGCCTGCCTGCCTGCCTGGCTGCCACCCTGCCTATCTATCTATCTATCTATCTATCTATCTATCTATCTATCTATCTATCTATCTATCTATCTATCTATTCTATCTACCTATCTATCATCTTCCCCAAAAAAACACATGATAAATTATACGCAAAGAGTATTGTTCCAGGATTGTGTTTTAACAATAATTGCCTTACTATTTATCATATCTGAAAATCACAGTGTTCTATCAAATGGCTTGTAGCTTTCTGTTTCCATTCACAGAAAGATATAGAAGACTTATGACATTTATGTCTCTTACAAGCACAGTAAACATACTTCCCTTCACACCAGATTTACTTCAATCAAATAGCATTTTGATTTCTAAGAACCTATGCCCAGTGTTAGAACTATACAAGATCAAAGAAAATGTTAACTTCTTAGTGGTTCACCAAAATGATTTCCCTGCATTTTTCTCCAAGGTGAAAATGAATAGATGGAAAGTAAGTAGTTACAGGACTGACATCAGGGGTCAATATAGCAGGTCATGTAACAGAGTGATTTAACAGCAACAACATGGTTTGACAGCAGGAGGGCTTTCATTCTTGATAGAAGCAGGGAAAAGAGGGAGAACGTTCACTTTTACTGATAGTTCGAATTGTCAACTGAAAGCTGGGTAATAATTTTGTAACAGTCTGAAGCGGAAAGAGTAATACATTTTAAAATGTATTTAATTATTTTTAGAAAGTTGGCCCATTTAAAATAGACAGAGATAGTGGAAATGTCCCTTAAATAATCCTACAATTGCTTCAAAAATGTTTCTTTTAGGGCTACTAAGATTATTTTTTTCTCTCTTAAAATTTGCTGGAATATGTGTTTTCCTATTCTTCTACTACACTCTACAGTGATTCCTATATTTATCTAAATGCTCAGTTTTCATTCTGTTCATGTTTTGGTCTTCTGCTCAATCAAGAAATTGTAGAGCAGGGGTGTCAAACTTGCAATGTCACATGACATCACGACATATTGCAACTTTTTTTCCATTGCAATGGGGTGGGTGCAGTTTCACCATGATGTGAATTATTCACTTCTCATTAGACTGCATTATTTTCTTTTGCTTTCTCAGATTCTCACACCTAATGCCTTCATATATTGTTCCCTTATTGTTGTTATTGTTGTTGTTAGTTGCAAAGTCATGTCCGACCCATCGCGATCCCACAGACAACGTTCCTCTTTATCTATTTTAAAACAATTGCAAATCTTTTCTATTTTTTTAAAAAAACTTTTCCATCTATAGGGAAGCTCTGATGCTACACTAATCAAAGCAATAGGGAACAGTTTTTTTCTTTTTCTTTTTTCTATGTTCCTCTGTAGATTCATAGAAACTTTAAAACAAGGAAGAACTGATAGTTCAGTTTTGTAGGACAATATAGTAATGATCCCATATTATTATATAACTAAGATTAAAAATAAAATAAAGGGGAGTGAGAGTTTCCAGTACTATGGGCAGGGAGTAAGAAAACAGAGAAAATGTATTTCATGTGCTAGCTTTTTCAGAGCAGTCATTTCATGTGCACAAACCCATCTTATTTAAATAGTGCCTTGGTCTAAAATTGATCTATTGGTCTAATAGCATTATGCATTTCATTACAATTTCACCTGAGGAGAAATTGAAAGGATATCCACTAGGAGATCTAAGGATGAATGTAGCATGAACTTCTAGGTTGAAGGATAATCCATTGAATTCACAGGCCAACATTGGAAGAACTGGATGATGATGGTGGTGATTTTTAAAGCAACTGCCAACAGCAGAACACATAGCTGCTTGGCAAACCAGGATGAAGTAGCTGTCCAGGGAAGGGCCATGCTAGGCATTGCAGCCAATCAAAACTGGGACTGGAATGGAATGAAGAGAAACAATGGAGACCATCAACTCTGAATGGATTTAAATAGGTCAGGAAACAGCAGTTCTGAATGAAAGCCAGAAAACCCAGCTCATTTGCAATAGCTGGGAAGTAGAAAAGGATAATATCACCTGTTCCTAAATTACAGTATGCATGATGGATCAAGCAGAAAGTGTGGATCTGCTCTCAGTCTTGGTACAGAATAAACTATAACAAGGAACCTGTTGTGTTAATGTAGGTCCATTGTCAGATTTATAATCCTGAAAAATTCAAACTCTGTAGGAAGCCTAAATTTATAAAAAAACATTTTCCACTGCAAATGTTTTTGCTCATGTGAAGGGTGGTGAGAATCATACTAGGAAAGAATGAACTTGATGCATTCTTCTTTTTGAATCTCATAGGGTCTTTAAATAATAAATGTACAATGCTAATAGACCAATAAACCAATTTTAGATCAGGGCAATATTTAAATAACAAGATGGGTTTGTGCACATGAAACAGCTGCTGTCTAAAAGCTACTACAAGATTTCCTGAGAGTATCTTCTCCTGTGTGTTCAGGTCATTAGGACAACATGGCTCATAAAATGACTTGTACAATTTTCTCTATAGCACTATAAAAACCTTCCTTCCTTGTGCTTTTTCCATCTCTGATGGTGTAACTATTGCTTACGAACAGCTTGCAGTATAGAGGTAGCCACCATGGGGAACAATTTAAGATGTTCTGAACTCAACATGTGGTGGCTGTTTGGGCACACTCATCCTGATTTCAGGTCTCTAAATATTCTGATATTTAGCCTGACTGTCAAACCTACTGAGAAGCCAGATGTCCTATCTAAAAATAACTCATCTAACTTACCTCTCTTGGTCAACAAAATTGGAGATCAGGTGTTGAAATGGATTTGAGTACAGTATAATGGGTAGTTTTGTTTCTTACTATAATAATTAAGATCACTAAATCATAGGCCTGGGATACAGCTCTTTTTGCTATTGTTATCAATGGGGAAAAATATTAATTTCACAGTTATAGTATTTTGTTGTAAAGACATAATTAGGTTGTACTTGACTAGAATTTCTCAGTGGCATTT